CCCGGGCGGGCGCGGGGCGCAGGGGCGGCGCGGCCGGGTGGCGGGGCGGGCGGCTAGGCGGACGGCGCCGAGGGGCGAGGCCTGGCTGCAGGGGCCGCTGTGGCCCAGGGGGAGCCCGCGCCCGGCTCAGCCTCGCAGCCCCGCGCCCTGAGCATCTCCCGGGAGGACCCGAGACAAAGGAGGATTCATGTCTAAAGGTAGGGCTGTCGCCTGGGCGCCCGGCACCGGCCCGGAGGGGGCTGCGGCTCCAAGCGCTACCAGAGGGAGGGTTTGCTGTGCGGAGGACCCCACGTGCAGTGACATGGGCATGGGCACACTCACACCCGGCGACACACACTTGGAGGCATAGGCTCGGCCACAGGCACGCACAGGAGCATGGGGAGCTATGGAGACCCAGATGCTTAGAGAAAGCCTCCCTGGAGCGCACCCGCACACGCGCGCACACACGCACAGCACATACTCCGAGCTGGGTACCAGACCGCCTACAACCAGTAAGGGACCTGTGCGCTGACACATCCGTCGGTCCCCTCCCCCCACAGGGAGACCAGGCGCAGAGACTGGCACCAGCTGGTGGTCTCCAAGGGAACTCGCTGGCCTCCCGACTAGAATGGGCGAAGGAGGGGAAGGGGAAGGAGGGTGTCCCTCGGCCCCTTTGCTTCTTTTTATGGGGAAGGATTGGTTTCTTTTTTTTCTTTTTTCTTTTTTTTTTTTTTTTCCTATCTGCCCAGGGCTGGAGCCGGGATGGGACCGGAATTGGCTCTGCAATGGGGGTGGGGTCTTAAAAGCTGCTGGATAAGACCCCTCAGCTTGGGAAGGGAAGAGAGAGCCTAGTATTCAGGAGGCAGGCACTGCTCTAGAAAGGTCTCCTCTCTCTCTGCCACCTCTCCAGCAGAGGGGTGGGGTCGCTGGGCCAGACAAAGACAGAGCCGGTTGGTTTTCCTGGAGGAGAAGGCAGCGCATCCTCGCTTGTCTCAGGGATGGAGCGCGCTGTCCTGTGGGGCCAGGCCTCAGTCAGGTGGACTGTCTCTTTCTGGAGCACTGATGTGGCAGGTGGTACCAGGCAGGGGGTGCTGCAGACAGGGGCGAGCTGGGAGCTCAGGAGGGGCGCCCCCAAAGGACTGTTATGAGCTTTCCCCCTACCCTCAGCTGGAGGGGATGGAGGAGGTCTTCCTGGGTGTACTTACCTTGACTGTGACTCACACAACAGCTGCTTGTTGGTGGGGGGTGGGATCCAGGGGCTCAGGACAGGAAGCAGCATGCAAGGAAGGAGAGAGGGATCCGAAGGGACACCTGCCTAGCGGGGCTTTCATTCATTCATCCACCGTCCATTCATTCAGCGTTGAGGGTCTCTGATATTCGAGGTGCACCGGGCTCGGAGGACAATAAGGCCTGGCCCCTCCCTCAGAGGGGCCTGGAAACCTGCACATAGTCAGTGAAAGGTCTTTTACATTCGTGATTCTGTATGACTTTCCCTGCAACCCCAGGGAAGACAGGTGCATTCTCCTTTTGTCTGAGAAAGAGAGAGAGAGAGAGAGAGAGAGAGAGAGAGAGAGAGAGAGAGAGAGAAATTCCCTAGGCTCACCTAGCCGGGATCCACGCCTGTGTCAGCTGCCCATCCAAGGATGGCCTGGCACCACTTGGGGAAAGGGAGGAGCAGGTGATGGAGCCACAGAGGCCAACTCCAGAACAGCATTTGCTCTGTATCCTGGAGGTCTTGGTGTACTGGTTAGGCACCCTCAGAGACAAGTCCTTGGGGGCAATGACCTTGTCTTGGATACAAATATATCCTTGGCATTTAGTGTAGCACGTGGCTTGGTCAGGCTTTCACTTGACAGGGAATGGCCTGGAATGAACGGATATGCTAAGTGCTGTAGAAGCTGCAGGGGACTGAGATGGCCCGGAGAGGCGGCCACACCAGATGGGAAGGCCTTCGGGGAGGAGTGGTTGCTTTGCTGGGGTTTTGAGCAGGGACAGGGTGTTCTGGCAAAGCCTGTGACACAGTGACCAGCCACGTGTCTGTCATACAGTTGACCGGTTGTTAGCCTGTGACTGGCATGAAATTGGCACGTGCTCAGGAGGAGGCTGACTTGTAGGTGTTCTGTGCCTTATCTTATAAGGGATGCTAACAGTGCTCCTTGGGAGAAAGAGAGCGAGAGCCACTTACACCCCGGGCTTACGTCAGGCCGGCCATAGAGTCTAGGAGTTGTTTGGGCATTTGGTCAGCTCCCTCTTTCAGTCAGGGTCAGACAGGCAGACAGACAGCTAGGTAGGCCATGATGGGGGGCACATGCTTTATAAGTCTACTTATAACCTCCACATACACAAGTACCCTCGCCTGTCTCCCTGGTGGCTTATGTCACAACACAGGCTATGGGTAACAAATGTAGCAGGCACACAGAAAACTGAAAGGGCCAGGCTGTGAGAACAGCAGGAAAGGAGGAATGGGATACTGGCTCCCAAAGCAGATATGCTAAAGGGGGGACATGAGCCATGTGTGTGGATAGAGAAGCTGGCTCAGGCTGTCACAGGGCTGAGCCACCAATCCTGCTACTTTCTGGAGCCACCTGGCTGGCAACAGCTTCCTGGGAAGCAAGACAGAGCAGAGCCAGGCTCTGGGGAGGTGCTAAGTCAGATTTAGCTGTGCCTGAGGGGGACAGGGGAAGAAGAGTTTCCCATCAGGAAAGAACATCTTGCCAGTACCAAGGGAAGGGCCAGGTGGTGGGGGTAAGAGAGCAGACTCCTGCCTGGGCTTGGAGGTGGGGAGGGAGACGTTCCCACTTCCTCCTGCTCATCTGCTGCTCCCTCAAGCCTCCTCATGGGGCTGAGGCGCAGGATGGTGATCATGAACTGCAGGCTTCTAAGATGACAAAGCTTCCCCGAGAGCATGCAGGCAAAGAATATGCTTGTGAAATTTAACAGCCAGGGGCACCTCCCCCTCATAAATGTGCACGGCTTCAAGCCTCACCAACCCCCGTCCAGAGAGGGGCAGCTTGAAAAGGGCAAGGGCGAGAGGGCAGGGGTCTGTGAGGCTGCTTTCTGGACCTGTAAGCACCATAGCACGTGAGGCTCACACAGCACATCCGTTGGCTGCCAAGGGGGACCTTTGACCTTTGACCTTCTTCTCTGAGGAGGGCTGTTTCCTCAGCCTCCCCTTCTGTGGCTTACCAGTACGAAAGTGTCGTGGTAGGCAAGGGGCAGTCCTTGTTTGGGGCTCATCCCTTCCCTTCTGGCTGTGCAGACTCAAAACTTGGGGAGACTGAGGCTGAAGGTGGAGCCAGGCTTAGCTCTGAAAGCTTCTAAGAGACCAAGGAACCGAGGCCATTGACGGTCGGTGTGCCACAGATGTAGGTCCCTAGAGGTGCTTTGTGCCACACTTGGCAAGGAAAGGTGCAGCTCTGAATAACGGAGACAGTTCATAGACTGGTGGGTTTTTTTTGGGGGGGGTGTAGAATTGTCCCCCCAGGAAATATTTGGTTCTGTGTGGAGATTCTTTCGATGGGCACATCCGAGAGGCTCCTTCAGGAACCTAGTAGGGTCTATGGACCCTGTTAACCATCCTGCAGATAGAGGAGAAGTCGGTCCTGCTACAGTAGCTAACTCAGGCATCAGTCGCGCTAAGGTCTTGGATTGCATACACAGACATAGAACTCTTGAACAGTGGTGTGCTTGAGAGTGTCCAGAGACTGGAGAGCCTGGTCGGGGCTGGAGAGATGGCTCAGTGGTGAAGGAACGCCTAGTGCTCTTGTGGAGGATCTGGGTTCGGTTCCTAGCGCCTGCACGGCGGCTCACGGCTCATGGTGCTCTCTAAATCCATTCCAGGATGATCTAGGGCCTTCTTCTGGCCTCCGTGGGTGCCGAGTCCACAGGGGGCACACACTTACATCTAGGCAAAGTCTTTTACACATAAGATGAAAATAAACAAGTCCTTACCCAGTAAACAAACTGGAGAAACTGGTCCTAGTGCAGATTTTGCAAAGGACCTAAACTATGTTCTCGGGCAAGCTTTTTCTTTCTCAGGGCATTAGCGTGTGGGACCCTAGACAGCATGATTCTGTGTTCTGTACCAGCCCCAACTCCGTGACTCCATACTGTTATGTCTTCCACGAAACCCTTGCTCTCCTGCCACTCACCCTGCCTACCTCTCCCACCACGGCTTTTCAGGGCTCCCAGAGGCCAGGACGGACACAGCCATGTCAGAGCTGGTACCTGAGCCCAGGCCTAAGCCGGTGGTGCCCATGAAGCCGGTCAGCATCAACTCCAACCTGCTAGGCTACATCGGCATCGACACCATTATCGAACAGATGCGCAAGAAGACCATGAAGACTGGTTTTGACTTCAACATCATGGTGGTTGGTATGGAAAGCCATGGGGTCACTGAAGGCCTAGGTGGTGGGCAGAGCCAAGGATCCCATTTCTTTCCCCAGAATGGCCTGGCCTTCTCTAGGGTGAGCTCTTTCTGGAGGGAGGACTGCATCATGGCGAGCTCAAGGGCCCGATCCTTCCTCCTAACCCGCTGATTAAAGGTGGGCCCGGCTTCCCCACTAGCTGAGGGCAGACATGCCCCCAGGGCACGTGCTTACATTCGGGCTTGCCAGCTCTTTCCCACCTCCGGGAGCCTGCGAGAGAACAGGGTGAGAGGTGGTCTTATCCTTCATGTTTTGCAAATTTGCCCAGGTCTTCTTGATCACTGAGTAGCATCAGTGAGTCACAGGCTGTAGCAGGAAGGGACCATTTGCCTCATCTGAATTGTTCTGTGAGTGCAGAAGCAGGAAGTGAGGCATCCTTCTCCCTCCCCCTTCTCCCAGTACAATCACCCAACCCTGTCCCTTCAACCTTGCAAAGGTCCCCCCGGGTCTGCCAGCTTCTGCCCGTCCCTCCCCCATCGTGACCCTAGGCTGAGCTAGGGGGACTCACCTGGGCTGCTGCCGCTGCCTGACTCAGTGAGCCGAGGCCAAGGTAGAAATCAGCCACCGGCTGTGCGGACTGCGTGCTCTGTGACACACACGCTTAACTTTCCCACACCGAAGTCTCAGCTCAAGAACCAGAAGTAGAAGCAGATAGGCCCTTACAGCTGGGCCGTGGGCCAGTTGGGGTGACATCGAGCCTTCGTGGTCTCCCTTCCTCTCCGATTCATTGTCCACTGGCTACCCAATGGCCTTTCCAATGGCAGAACTCACTGAGCCGTCCATTCTAATCCCGTAACTCTCTCTTAACCTCGGGGTAAATTTAGACTTCTAGCTTGGCTGGGAACTGCTCCTAGTCAACTCTTACCGTTTCCTGTCCACACTCTGCTCGTGCACACACAGAGGCTCTCGACTTGCCGTGCTCCTTCCTGTAGGGCCCTTTCAACATGGCCATCTCAGTGACTTTTGCCATCTCCTCAGGTGGAATGAGAAAATGCATCTATTCGCCCTTCCTAGTCTCTGCTGGTTCCCTCCTTTCTTATCCGTCTGTAAAGAAATGATGGGGATAACATGGCAAGCCCAAAGCAGTGCAAACACCTCAGCTGGTGTCAGGAGTCCCAGGCTCCTTCCTGTCTGCCTGGTCTCCCCTCCTTCCCCCTGCCCCGCCCCAATCTACTACACAAACGCTTCAGACCAGCCCTACTTGGGTTTTCCCATCCAGTGAATTCCTCTCAAAGCCCGGTTAAACCACAGATTCTGAGTTGGGGGTCTGAGGCAGAACATCTGCAAACATGCAGGGAAATGGCGGCGTTGGCCACCAGCTCCAAGGCATTCTGGGTAATTCTTGTGCATGAGAAGTACTGTGTGGCTCGAGAGCATTTTCGCTTGGAGGTCCTCTTAGGAGCACTCTGCTGCAGAGCTGCACACCTAACACGGGTGCAAAGGGAGCCATCGTGGCGGAAGGAGCTGTGGTCCTGTCTGCCCAGCTTCCCCTCCTCTCCCGGTGCCTTTTCTGCCTTGCTCCTCCGAGAGGCCATTAGGCCTTCTGGGAACACAATCTAAAAAGCACCAGGGGCTAGAGGGATGGCTCAGTAAGTAAGCGTGCCGGCCGCACAAGCACGAGGCACTGGGTTCAAATCTGCAGCATCTACGCCAACAGTTAGCTGCAGCCCCGGCAGCCCTGGCGCAGCGGGGAGCAGAGATGGGAAGCTCGCCCCAGCCCAAGGCCAGGCTCAATCAGAGATCTCGTCTCAAAGGAATAAGGTGGTGAGCAATAGTGCAGGGCCCTCAAGCATCCTCCTCTGGCCTCTGCGAGCACATGCGCTGGTATACATACACAAGTACACAACGCGCACACTCTACCACTACCCATGTAAATACGTACACGCACACACGTGAAATGTAACACGCAGGCGTACACAGACACGCCGCGTACATGCACACATCACACATACCACATATATGCACACATACTTAGGCACCCATAGAGCCACATGAGCATATAACACACATCCAATACACACATCATGCATACACAGGCGCGTAACAGACACCACACAGATGCACGCACAACGTGGGCATTTTATACATATACATATACATATATACACCCGGAATAAATAGATGTTAAAAAATTTACAAAGCATGGTTCTTGAGGTGGGGGCCCCGGTCTTGCATTCACCAGCTCTGTGGCCTCATGTGTTGCATTAGATGTCTCTAGGGCCATTTCAGCTAGGGCGGTAACTCTGTTACGAGAAGCACAGAAAGACTCATCACACGCACCACAGAGGTGCCTCCTCCCAGTGGTCCTGGGGTCCATGAAGGGACGTGGAATCCCACTGCCATGTCCGCAGCCCCCCCCTCCGTTAAACAGACAGCCATTCCTACCTGATGCTCATCCCCCAAAGGGTGTTCAGACAAGGTTTGGCCTGGATCGAGGCCCTGGAGGCGTGTAAGCTCGCAGGAGGGCTCCGCCGCTCAGGAGGGAGATGTGGGGCCTGTCTCCCTTTCTCCGTCTCCCCTTCCCTTCCCGCAGGCCAGAGTGGGCTAGGCAAATCAACGCTGGTCAACACGCTGTTCAAGTCCCAAGTGAGTCGGAAGGCCTCCAGCTGGAACCGGGAGGAGAAGATCCCCAAGACGGTGGAGATCAAGGCGATTGGGCATGGTGAGGGCTAGACCAGGACTGGACTCTGTGGACATCATTCGGAGGGGTGGGGTGTGCCGAGCAGGAGGAAGGGATGGGGCTTGTTGGGGAATAAGATGTGAAAGGCAGCCACAGAGTGGAATTAAACCCCAAATTTGTTGGAACAAACTCCTTAATTCTGCTAGGCCTAGATAATGAGGTGGGAGTGGGGGAGAGTGTGTGTGTTGGGGGTGTAGAAATGAAAGAGGTGGATCTTGAACTAGGTGATGAAGACCAGACAGACGTAGAAACAGGAAGAAGTAGGGCAGGGTCGCCTAGGTGTGGGACACAGCAGCTAAAAGTGCTGAGGGGAGGGGTCTGTCACCTTGACTTTGCTCACAGCTGCTTTTAAGAAGCATGGGTGTTCCCGGGCAGTCGGCTGCAGGGCCCCGGGGGTCAGCTGTGGGACTGACCGCTCTGATGCTCTTTCTGTTCTCTCTAGTGATAGAGGAAGGCGGAGTCAAAATGAAGCTGACAGTCATTGACACGCCGGGCTTCGGAGACCAGATCAACAATGAGAACTGGTACGTGTCTGCCTCTGAGATCTCTTCCCTAAGTTCCCTGCGAGGAAGACGTGGTGCAGATTCATTCCCATTGAGGACCTCCCTTGGCACGAGGTTGGCTCTCCTGGGAGACTTCATCCATGAAAAGCCATCCATCGGGAGGATGATGGAGAACTGGCCGTCGGGTAGAGGAAGGAAGACAGCGCACGAGACGGGAGCGAGGGGTTCTTGTCCTTTTGCTGCGTTAGCCCATCTGTTTCTTCCCCCTCACCCCTCAGCTGGGAGCCCATTGAGAAATACATCAACGAGCAGTATGAGAAGTTCCTGAAGGAAGAGGTGAACATTGCCAGGAAGAAACGCATCCCCGACACGCGTGTCCACTGCTGCCTCTACTTCATCTCCCCCACGGGACACTCGTACGTACCAGACCCACTGCTGCTGGGCCTGCCTCCAGTTTGTGGCATCTGTGCCAAAGGATTGGAGAATCCACACTTGGACTTCCCTGGGGAGGGCCAGATGGCTGGAAGGTCGTGGCGCTGTGACCTTAGGGTTCCCCAGACTCTCTAAGAGAGTAAAGCTGGTCATCGCTGCCCGCCATATTGTTTGCTGGTGTCCCGGCACAGCCCAACTGTGCCAGTAGAGAGAACTTAAGCAGAGGGCACCTCAGTTGTTCATGAGATACTTGCTTTGGGCAAGGCTTGAGATATGGGGATGGCGAGGAAGGTAAAGTAGGGAGAATTGGAGCTACTGGATTGGGGCTGATATTTAGGCAAGATATGGGACTTGGCCGTAGGAATCTAGATGGCCATCCCAGCAGGAGCCAGACAGCTAGAGATGAAGGCTGTGCTGGGAATATAATTTGATTCTTTTGATTTTTTTGTTTGTTTGTTTTGGGACAGAGTTTCTCTGTGTAGTCCGAGTTGTCCTGGACCTGATTTGTAGACCAGGTTGGCCTCAAACTCACAGAGATCCGCCTGCCTCTGCCTCCCAAGTGATGGGATTAAAAGCGTGTGCCACCACTCCAGGCTTGGGGACGTAAGTAGCAGGTGGACCCCATGAGCAGGTAGTGTGGGGACAGGCAGCGGTCAGCTGTCTCAGTCTTTCCAGCCACGTCCTGAAGGGCAGTTTGTAGCTCTGAGCCTCTCTGCATGGTCGGAACTTAACTTTTGAGAGGATGACACAGCAAGGTAGACCCTGAGGTCTGAAGGAGCCAGGGGTACTCAGCCGAGGCTGAGTTATAGAGGCTGTGAAATAGTAACCCTGGGTCAGACCTAGGATCTCGATAAAATGAAGTTTTTGTTTGTTTTCTAAGAACGAACACTGGGAAGAGAATCCAGGGCCTCACACATGCTAGGTAATCACTCTACCATTGAGCTATACTCCAGCCTTCTTTTAACCTTTTTTTTTTTTTCTTTCCTTTTTAAAGATTTATTTATTTATGGTTTTTTTCAAGACAGGGTTTCTCTGTGTAGCCCTGGCTGTCCTGGAACTCGTTCTGTAGACCAGGCTGGTCTCGAACTCAGAGATCTGCCAGCCTCTGCCTCCCAAGTGCTGGAGTACGCTATCATGTCCAACCCTCTTTTTACTTTTTAAGACAGGGTCGCACTTGGTTGTCCAAAATTTTTTTGAACTTACTCTGTAGCCCAGGCTGGCCTTGAACTTGAGATCTAAATGGCCTCAGCTAAATCTTCCTAGACCTCGATCCACAGAGCATGGCGACCAATGGTCCCCCAGATTGCAAAGTAGAGTCCCGCTGGGGCTCTAGAGCTTGGCTCTGCAGGATAGAATGTGGGGGCTGAAACAAGGCCATGGTAATGACCGTCCATGTATGTCCCCCAAAGAAAGGCATTCCCAGGTCAGAAAAGGTATCATGGGATGGTTTGAGGGGTTTAGGGAGAGGAAGATAAGAGGGAGCTTGGCTGTGAGGGGTTGAGGACAAGTTGGGGACACTCAGCGGGCGCTGAAGCAGTGGCCATGTGCAAGAGGAGAGGCTGTAGCTGCTTAGCCTCAGCCAGGTCCCCAGGCCGGTCCTCTCCCAGGGACGGTCTAGAGAGGTGGCAAGGGCTGAGTTGGGAAGGGGAGGTGGTTCTGACATTCCTGCCTTCTCTGGGCCTCAGCTTGCGACCTCTTGACCTTGAGTTCATGAAACACCTCAGCAAAGTGGTGAACATCATCCCTGTGATTGCCAAGGCCGACACCATGACCCTGGAGGAGAAATCTGAATTCAAGCAGAGGGTGAGCAGGCCTCTTTGTCCCTTTCCTGTCTCTGCTGCCGCCTTCCCCTCCTTCGGGTCCAAGCCATTTCCAGCCTGCCACGTCTTCCACTTCCTCTCCACTCCAATTCTCCTCCCTAACTCCCTCCCACTTCACCATCCAGGAGGCAAGCGCTAGAAGTTCCTGGGACCCAAGGCAGGTCTCCGCAGTTCCAGGCTGCCTTTTTCTTACTTTCCACGCTTGGTCTGCAAAGGCTCTGGGATACACAGACCGCCGTGAACCGCTCCGTTGTTAGGTTACTTGAGAGAGCACAATAACCAGTAGCCAACCTGCACTAGTTCCTGCTGGATGAAAAGAAAAAGAAACCCAAAAGAACACTGAAGGGGCCCTGGAGGGAGAAATTTAAGCTGGTTCTGAGAGAGGGCAGGCAGAGAGCCCAGGAGGTGGGCTTGACCTCCCTTCCTTGCAAGGTCCCGAGCTCAGAGATCCTGAGCCTAGCCTGGAGCGTCTGGACCCAGCTCTCTCTGGACAAGCTCTGCTTGTCTGAAATCCCAGGACTCCACACCTGCACCCACAGACTCCTCCTCTTCCCTCCTGGGCTGGCCTGTGCCTTTTCTTGGGGTCTTCCTGCTGCCCAGGGCCTGAAGTCAAGAGAGTCAAGATTATCAGTGCTCTACAACCTTGCTCTCTAGGTTCGCAAGGAGCTTGAAGTAAACGGCATTGAATTCTACCCTCAGAAAGAGTTTGATGAGGATTTGGAGGACAAGACAGAGAACGACAAGATCCGGGTAAGTGCGTGGGGCCCTCTTCATCACACAGACCCCGCCCCTGCCTCTGGGATGTGCCTCAGGCCCTTCCTCCTGCTTTTCCCTTACTGTATCTCCTTGCCACTTCATCTAACCCAGACCATGGGAGGTGGGGGTCAGTGACCCTCACTAGGACTGTGAACCCACAAAGGGGCTTTCTATACCCGGGAAGGTGATCTCTTCCATCACCTTTCCTTCCCAGGACCTGGCAAAACCAGTGTCAAGTGACGGGACATTTGGGCTGGGGCCCAGAGGAATCTATGCTCTAGTCAAAGTTTGCCTCAGTTTCTCCCTCTGTACATAATTTAAAAAATTTAAATAAACAACAAATTCCCTTACTGACCGACCCCAGCTAATCAAATCTCATCAGGACTGCCTGCCTCGTCTTCCTCTGTGGCCTGGCAAGGCGTCCTCACCTGAGAGAAGTGAGCGAAGAGCAGGCAACAGAGTTCATGTCAGAGATAGCCCCTGGTCCCTTTACTAGGTGACCCACTGGTCACCTCCTAGACTGAGTTGCCTATGGGCTATATCTGATCAGGAGGCCTGGGTCTTCTCCGTGCATGGTCCTTGGTTGGTGCATCAGTTTCCACAACACTCCTCCCCCCCCCCCCCCCCCCCCCCCCCCCCGCAAAGTCCATTCTTAAGGCCAAAGCCTTTCATGCCTGTCATCTTAATATTCAGAGAGCATCTCTCCACGTATCATGTTCGGCACGAAGGCAGTGGTCAGTGAAGGGCCGCGTGAGACAGTTTTCCTGCAATCTTCTCACCTGGTGACGTGGTACCTGCCTTAGTAGTTTGCATGCTTCTGTTCTATGAGTTCACCCGTGTGGCCCATGACCTGTTCTCAGAACTTACTCCTGTCGTTAAGCAACACGTGACCCGCTTCTCCAGTGACAATAACAAACACGCAGAAGGCAGATCCATTCCGGCGCTTGCCCTGATAGAGCAGAGAGCAGCCCCAGAGCCTGAGACTTCAGTACCTGGGCATCTGCCAGTAGGTTCCATGAGAGCCGCATAATACATCTTGGAGTCGGACTGGCGCCTGGGTGGGTACTGTTTGTGAGAGAGTCTGTCCTAGCTAGCTCCCAGAGCAGTTCCAAATCAAACGAAACTATGTGCCCAAGCACAATGAACTGTACAAAGTGCTCTCTAGCTGAAGCAGAGCCAACTTGCTGAGGCTAACCAGTCAGACAGTAATGTAGTCAGGCTTGGGCCCAGCTCAGTCTTTTCAAGAGGCAGAGCCTTGCCCTTGCCACCAGGAGCGTCATAGACTGAATGAGCAATGGAGTAGGATGTGAAAGGCTGTGCTGCCCTGGGACACTCAGGGTGGCGAGGAGGACTGAGCCTGCGTGTCTGGCTTGTGCTTTCCCCCCTCTCTAGCAGGAGAGCATGCCCTTCGCCGTGGTGGGGAGCGACAAGGAGTACCAAGTGAACGGCAAGAGGGTCCTCGGGAGAAAAACACCCTGGGGGATCATTGAAGGTAATTCTGGGTGTCTCTCGGAAGAAGTGGCTATCCAAGGGAGCAGCTATTAGCTAGCGGGAGGTCAACGTGTCAGTATCCTAGAACCAGGATATTGATGCCAGCCAACTGCTGCCCATAAGGAGCTTAGAGTCCGAGACGCCAGTCACAGGCAGGAAGCAATGCCACCACTGAACATGTGATCAGGTGGCAATGAGTTGGCCTCTCCAGTGGATTTAGAATCCAGAGAAACTGCTGAGGGATGGAGAAGCCAGCGGAAGGGTTTCATGTGTGACCTGACAAAGTTCAGGTGTCACCCTCCTTCGTCAGTGATTTATTATGAATGGGTGTGACCTTAGGTGGGATGTGATGATTCTGAAAGTTTTCAGCAGTTACTTCAGGGGTCTCACTGAGGGTTGGGGAGGTATATAGAGCGCTCGCTTAGTGCATTCAAGTCTCTGGATTTGATCCCCTGCACAATACATGCAAAACCAAACTGAAAAAACAAACAACCCTTTTTTCAATATGGCAGCCCCATACAGGGCAGGCCTTCCTGTCTTTAGAGTATGAGTCTCAGACAAGTTAAGTGCTTTTCTTCGCAAAGGTCACACAGTCCTCACCTACCACCAGTAAGAAATGCTGGATATTAAACCCCAAACTTTTATTTTTTAAAAAAGATTTATTTATTTATTATATATAAATAATATTTTTTAATATATTCTGCCTGCATGTCAGAAGGGGGCACCAGGTCTCACTATAGATGGTTATGAGCCACCATGTGGTTGCTGGGAATTGAACTCAGGACCTTTAGAAGAACAGCCAGTGCTCTTAACCTGTGAGCCACCTCTCCAGTCCAAACCCCAAGCTTTTCATGTGCTAGTGAAACTTGAACTTGAAATTTAGATATTTTGATTCCCAAATCAAGATTTACTCTACTGCCTTGAATTGTTTAAATTGTCAATAATTTTTTGTGGACCTGGTGATAGAACTCAGGGCCTTAACTGTGATAAGCAAGCGCTCTGCGACCAAGCTAAGCCCTTCCCTGTGCTTTTTGGAGACAGGTTTTTATACTCTGGATCCAGGCTGGTCTTGAACATAGGATCCTTCCACTTCTGACTCCCAAATACTGAGGTTACAGTGGTGCTTGGCTCACCAAGCTCACCACACCCAGTGCCTTGGGATTTTATCTTTTTCTTTGCCTTGGATTAGAATTATTGATGAGAAGGTTACCAACATGTCATCAGACCAGAGAGCCGTGTCTAACCCCCTCTGCTCTCACCGTTCTTAGTGTGTGGCTTGCAGAAGGTAGTCCTTCCATCTCTATCCCCTGGATTTATTGTATAGAGCGCGACCTTTGGGAGCTGGACCAGTTATGAGGTCCTGTGCATTTTATCTTCTCTTCATCTTTACCCTGTCTCTAGAATAGAAACTAGAATAGGCCTTCACACGTTTCTCAAATGCCCACATTCATTTTCTTTCTTTCTTTTTTTTTTTTTTTTTTTTTTGGTTAAGTGTGGGACAAAACCAGTCCATATTAAGATTAATTTTACACTACCTGGAATACCATTGTGTCCATTATGTCTGATTTGAGAGTATTTTTTCGGTTTGAAGAAAGGGGACAGGGGAGGGAACCAGTATACTAGAAGCGAACCTCAGGCAGGGCCACAAAAGACCCGGCCTCATGCTCTCTTTAAAGCACCCTACCTTCCAGGCCGTGCACTAGCGAGATGGCTACCCGTTTTCTTCTGTTTTGTCTGTAGTGGAAAATCTCAACCACTGTGAGTTTGCCCTGCTTCGAGACTTCGTCATCAGGTACGACCCTCTCCCCGCCCCCAGAGGGCAGGTTTAACTATTTGGGATCAAGGCCCTCTGCTCAGATCCACTGCCTGACTTTGCGTGTCTCTCTGACAGAGCTTTCTGTCCCAGTGTTAGCCCCTATCTCAAAGAAGAAGGGCTTGAAGAAGTATCATTGGTGCCCTGCTGTGGGTCCCAGCCAGTGGGTCCAGTCTCCCGAGGAGATGTGTTAGCCTCAGAGGCGGGACATTTCCTCCTCTGATGACCCTTAATCGTACCCCTTCTCTCTTTACCCCGTGCCCTTCAGGACTCACCTGCAGGACCTCAAAGAAGTAACACACAACATCCACTATGAGACTTACAGGGCCAAGAGGCTCAACGACAACGGGGGCCTCCCTCCGGTGAGCGTGGACACAGAGGAAAGCCACAACAGTAACCCATGATGACCCCTTCTCTGTGTTACTGGCCATACATATCTCACTTCTCCAGACACACACACATGCCAGACACCACCTCGAACCACCCTTTCCTTTCAGCTCTGTCCCACAGGCCTGTCTGGTATTTGTGGAGTATTTTGTCTACAGCGTGTGTGTGAGTGTGTGTGTGTGTGTGTGTGTGTGTGTGTGTGTGTAATAGAAAGTGCCCGAGTGTGCACTCAGGGTGAGGTATTTTCATTCCTCTCTCTGAAAAGTCCTATGTTAAGTCTGCTTTCTCCATGACTATCCATTCTGTCTCCCCCTTTCTCTTGTGCTCCAGAGCAAAAAGCTGTGCGCCTTGCTCAAGAGGTCTGGGGGAAGGTTTTAATTTAAAATGCTGGGAGCAGGTGAGCCACAGGCAACTCTTTTCTTACTTCTGACCCACCCACAAGCTGGGGCTGCGAGCATTCTTCAGGGACAGCCGGCTGAGCTGGCCTGTGGTGGGAGGTGGGAGTCCAGAGCAACCTTCACTGTAAGCTGAGGTGATCTCGAGTGAGGCTAGGACTTCCTGGGGAAACCAAAAGAAAGGTCATGGGTTGCAGAGGAGAACGCTGAGGAGGTTCCCGAAGAGTTAGCGATTGGAGATAGAGCTCTGCCTCTGTTTCTATGTTGAAGGTCACTGTCAAACAGTGGGTTATCACCGCTGCTGTCTGTGCCCGCCTTGCCCAGATTTCCAGGCTGGCAGGTTGCTTCCTCTTCCTGATTTCCCTCCCCCCTCCCCAGCCTCCTTCTCCTCCTTTCTTCATATATTCGTATATTCTCCCCGTTTCCTGCCTGTCTCTGACCTTTCACCTCCTTTCAGAGTAATCTGTGTCAGCTTCATTTCTATACTTAGAAACCATGCCCAGTCTACTCCTAAATTGACTTCCTACTGCCCTAATATAAAATCACAGTTAGGGGCTGAAGAGATGGCTCTATCTTTAAGAGCGCCTTTCGCTCTTGCAGAGGACCGGGGCTTGGTTCCCAGCACCTGCTTGGCAGCTCTTAGCTCTCTGTGCCTCCAGTTCCCAAGGATCTGATGCCCTCTTTTAGCCCCCATGAGCATGGCGTACACACACGTAGACAAACACTCATATGTGTGAGATAAAAATAAATGAATCTTAAAAACACAATTAGATACCAATAAAAGCATGGGCCAGTACACACTGTGATTGCAAGGGAAATAAGAGTTATAGAGAAGAACAGGAAAGCCCGTTTCTACAGCTGAGCACTGAAATTTGCTCTGAACTTGGGAGTACCTTAGGCGAATAGGGGAACTTGCTAAGTTGGGTGGCTCCCAGTGTTGTGTTCAAGGAAGCGCATATACTGGTCAGGGGAGGCGACTTTTGGGCGGAAGCTATTGCATTCTAAAGTATCAGAAACAATATACAGAATTTCCTAGGAGGCGGGACTTCCAAGACAAATTCCCCTTTCTCTAGCAGTCTCCTCTCTCTGTTGAGCTGGCTTCTCTGTGGCTTCATCTCATATAAACCGGACTCACTCTTTCTCTGTTCTCATTTGTCTGTCTGTCTTTCTCTGCTTCTCCCTTCCCCCCATTCGCCCACGTTCCGATCCTGTAGATGTCCCCGAGAATATGCACAGCTGCACCCTTAGCCTTCTCTTGCCCTTCTTGGGAGCCCCGTATTTATTAATGCACAATTTTATGGCTCCTTGAACATTCGAGTTGTAGTTTCTCAGGCTGCTTTAAGGAAAATAGTTCAGCCTTAGGAAAGGAAAGACACCAGGTGATTCTGTTTACAGTCTGTCTAGCCACTACCCCGTCTCTCAGTCTAGCCCGGGTGATTAACTGGTCCTCACTGAAGCCAGCAGCCGTGATCCCAGTCCTTTATCACTCAGGTGCTAGGAAAAACAAGAGATGGAAGACCCATGATGATCCAGTGAGAGAGGAGGGAATGGCCAGATCATGTGACCCTAATCCTATGGTCTCAGCCTTTCCTGGAGACTGCTGTAGCCATCCAGCCCTCGTCCCTCACCCCGCTTTCCCCATGAAGTCACTAGAGAGTAGGCACCTGTCAGGCTAGCGTGGCGGTGGTGTGATAGAGCTCGCTGGCCACCCCATTGAGCTGTCATGTATGGTGGCATGGGAGTGGGCGCCTGGGGCCAGCAGGGAGTAAGGATGGTGAGCCTTGGAGAGGCTAAGGAGGAGAAGTAGTGTACCGGGCTTCCCTCAGCTGCCGGCTCACTCTCCCTGGACAAGCTGTGTTATGTGTCTGCTGTCAGCTGCTGGTCTCCACACCCTCAACCATTCTCAACTCCCCCCGCAGGGAGAAGGCCTCCTGGGCACTGCCCTTCCACCCGTGCTGGCCACCCCCTGCCCCACTGCTGAGTGAGTGACGGCCATTTCAAGCGCTGCTTCTCCCTCATTGCTCCCAGCTGTCATTGCTGCAGGGCCAAGCCCCCTTTAGTGCTGTGCTTGTCCAGCCTACCACCTCAGCCCCTCTCAGCCCTCAGCAGGTGGGAGGGGCTAGCTGCCTCTTTAGGATGGTTGCTTCCTGTTCAGCCTAACTACTCCTCTCCTCCCAATGGATCGGAGCCCCCCCACACCCCACCCCCGGCACTGCCCTGCTCTATCCTCTGTGTCAGCAACCCCAGCCCACGTGTAGGGCGAAGGGACTCACCAAGAGCTTCTCCTGCCCTTGCAAGCCCATGCCATCGACTTGTAACCATCTCCAGGGGACCCGACATTGCTCCCTAGCCATTCATCTGCATGAGTACTTTCTTGGCTCCCTTAAGCGGTCAAGAAAGCAACTTTTCTGCTTGTCAGAGTTGCTGAGGTCAGCCATGTGTGCCCCCCACCCCACCTGTGTGGGACAAGGGTGTCTCCTTCATTGCTTAAAGGTATTTATAAGGGTGATTCGTTATGTATGTTGGGGAGCAAGAGGGCTAGAGTCGCTTAAAAAAAAATCATTGCTGGTGGCTGGCCCAGTGAGTAATGTGTGTAAACAACCTGTCTCCCACCCCCACACCAAAATAGGGCCACTTGGGAAGTATTTTTCCTGAAGAGAGGTTGCTGAAGTTGACTTCCTTATTTATCTTCAAACTTAAAAAAAAAAAAAAAAAAAAAGGAAGTCAATTGAACACACACACGAACCACCCCAAACCCACAGCTATACACTCTAGGGAGAAAAATAGCACCCTTTTGTACATTTAGCAATAAGAGGGATCTCTTCCCACCTACCCTGACTATCCCTCCCCCCCCCCCCCGTTAATGTGAGCAATGCATTAGCCTGGCCACAGGTGGTCACTGCAGGCTAATGGAAAATACCCACTGGAGGGCAAAGCCCCCCTTCAGTTGCATGAATGTTTGCGAGTGTGCCACTGCCCACATACTGTGTCTTTACAGAGCCCCCCCTCAGCTGCCCTGCCCACCATCTCCACCTGGACACAACTTGCTCAAAAGCTGGTGACTTGTGGGCCCTTCATCTGCAAGTCCTGATGGAACAAGAGGCCCAAGCCTAGGGGATGCTAGAACGACCCATTTTTAAAATGGTATTAGTCCCAGCTAATGTTTTGGTGACATTGCAGTTTAATTTCCCAACTGAAAACAAGTCAACAGACACCAGGACTGGTCATGTAAATGTTGCTAGCCTCTGTGTTGTACAACTAAACATTACTGTTTGAACAATAATGGCCTGGTCCTTGTCTTGTTTGTGTTCCTTGTTCCTTGGTCAAATCAGCCATGAATGACACTAGCTCAGCCGTGTGTGAGCTAGGGACCCTCTTGGCGAGAAGTTAGCCACAGATGTTGAATCTTGACTATGTGGCGTCTGTTCATTTTCAGGTGATGTGAGGTCGTGTTCTAGTCGCTCTCTGGGATTTTGTAACCCCATCGAGTGGGAGGGCTGACACTTGATCTCATAGGTTCCGTGTTTCTCCAGACGGTATTTAGTCCCAGTTACTTAACTTCCTAGCATCGCCCCCGCCCTGAAGGCATAAGGAGCAGGCCTACAAACGAAGACATAGGCGTGCCAAGAACACTATTTAACAACATATTAAGAGTATAAAGGGGCCGGTAAGATGGCTCAGCTGGGAAGAGCACTTGCTGCCAGAGCTGATAATCTGGGTTCAATCTCTGGATCCTACATGGCGGAAGGAGAGAATTAACTTCTGTGAGTTGCCCTTTGACCTTTGCATGTTGCACGCATGCACACATAAACACACACACACACACACAAACAATTTTAAAATACTGGAGATGGCTGAGCTGGTAAGCATGATGGCTGCACACAAGCGTGAAGACCTAGGTTCAGATCCCTGGTACCCACATAGAAATGGACCCAGCTATGGACCCAGAGGCCCCTGCCCACCATGCAGAGTGGGTAGGGGGGATGACAGTCAGAGGCCCAGGTGCCTCTATGGTGAGCTAATATGTGGTGGAGAGATGGGAGAGAAGGAGAAGTGGAATGGTTTGCACACTATTAAGAGAAGAGGAACTGGATACGTGAGGCTGATGAGGAACAGCCTGATGCGAGTGGCCCGTGATGCTACCTGAGGCCATGCTGATGTTCCGGCCCATGCTGTCACAGAGGGCCATGTCTGGGTTGGAGGCTGTGACCCACATTAACAACAAAGGCCATGCAGATGTCTCTGGTCTGGCCTGCCAGCTGAGGTCATCTTGATGTTCAAGGACTGTGCAGAGCTGGCCCTACCCCTCACTTGAGCCGCTTGGAAGAGCTGGCCCTGGTGGCATAGGCATGGGAGAGCTGTCCTGAAGGGCATGAAAGTGGAGAGTGCCCTGTACCTCTCCTGGACAGCATAATAGAGCCGGCCCTGGTAGTGTGGGCTCCGGTGAGCCAGCCACCCCCCTTGCTGGGGCAGTGCTGGAGAGCTGGCATAGTGGCTTGGGTGCAGGAGAGCTGGCAGGCTGACTAACTCAGGTGCCACCCAGGCCCAGATCCAGGGCTTTGAGTTGGAACACCCCAACATCTACCCCATCTATGAACTGCTGGAGCACATGAATGGGCTGGTCCTGCAAAACCAAAGCTTCAGGATCTCCATGACACAGGGCAACAACAGGATAGCTGAGAGGAGTCCCTGGTGAGGATCCAACATTGATAGAGTAGAAAAAGCAGAGGCCTGGCACCAGACAATGTCTCACTGCAAATAAAGCTGTTTATACTGTGACACACCACGACACACTACAGCTTTCACAGCGAGATGTGTTTGGTTTTTATTATTTTAATAAAATATGTATTTTTCTTTGTTTTCTTTGGGGGGAAGGTTGCAAGGGCAGAGGGTGGATGTGGAAGGATGGGGAGATGTGTGAGATTGGGGTGCATGATATGAAACCCACAAAGAACCAATGAAAAGTTAAAAAACAAACCAGGTGTGGTCCCATGCTTGCTTGGGGCTTGCTGGTCATCTAGCCTGCTTCCAAGTTCAAGGAAATCTTCTTTCTTGAGGAATTCTTTCTTGAAGAAAGAGGGGAGAGTGACAGGACACGTGACATCCTCTTCTGGCCTCTTCAAGTGCACACAGACATGTACAGCCAAACACACAAAGCACGCAAATACTACTCATGTGCACAAAGGGAGTTAAACACCAGTGTTTCTCTTGAATTTAGGACGATCCTTCTCATGAGTAGCCTAGTAAACACCACAACTCTCATCTGTTTATTTCCCTAAACCTTAATGTGAACTTTAAGTAATGATTTGGCACGCTGGCTTTCTGGGAGGTGAACATAAGGTATAAACGAGCGAAGAGAAACAGTCTGGAGAGGCCAGAATGGAAGATGAGTCAGGAGATTCTTGAATCTATGCAGGTAAAACGGTGAGAGGATGGCAGCCAGCAGCAACACAACACAGCTGAGGGGAAGTGAAATCTGAAAGGCAGAACTGTTTGGTGGACACCAGAGATCACAGTCTTCTTGTTCAAGGCTGCACTGACCACAGCAGGAGAGGCTAGAGCTCCATGTTTGGGCACCTGCTGTATACTATTCCCACTGAATTTGATTTTTGAATTCTAGTAGACCTTGTACTTAAAAAAAAAAAAAAAAAAAAAAAGAAGAGTCTGTGCTATGTGTGGTGGCACATGCCTTTAAACCCAGCACTTGGGAGGCAGAGGCAGGAGAACCTCTGTGAGTTTGAGGCCAGCCTGGGCTACACACCAAGTTCAGGACATGTCTTACAATGATAACATGTCTGATTATTTGGCAATTTTCCTTTCCTCACTGGCACATTGATATTCTAGTGTGTCTTGAGTAATGTTCTGGGCGTGACGCCTACAAAGGCTCAATGAATTCTGGAACGGGACCCACTGAAGGTTGAAATTCACCGTCCACCTCTTGACCTAGTTCACCTTTTCTGGATGTTCTCTCACAAGATCATCGGTTCTAGGCCATCTTTGATGCAAGAAAGACCACTCTGGCCTTTAAGAAGTGGAGGGAACGTAGACCCTCGGTCTGGGTTGGTTTAAAATAACCCGGACTGAGCTTTTGGGTTAATGGCTCCTTTTTAAACCACCAACTCCTAGCGGGACCAAGGCTGGCTGGAGACCTGCACCACAGAGGCTGTTCAGCCATCCTCCAGCCCCCGTTCTAGGGGTGGAGCCAGTTCCACGAACACGCCCCCCTCTCTCTCATCACCCTCTCTCCCTTGACTCTTGTGACCGTTCCTCTTGTGACAGCTGCCCGCTCAACTCCTCCACGTTTCTGCGCCATAATCTGGTCCCTCTCTTGAGGGCCCGCCCCATGCCCTGGCAGGCCCCGCCCCTTCCCATTTGAAGGGCGGGGCGGCGGCCGGGGCGGAGCGAGAGCGAGATGGCAGTGAACCAGAACCACACGGTGGACCACCGCTGGGCCGCTATCCCTCCTGGCGAAAGGTGCCTGAGGGGGCTTCCAGGCTGCTGTTGAGGAGGGAGGAGCTGCTCAGGGTAGACGCACGCACGCGCGCGCGCGCTAGGAAGCGCTCGGCGAATCGAGGACTTTCCCGCCCTTCCCGGGCGCGTTCGCGCGCCGTCGCGGAGCAGCTGGCTGGGCTCGGGCATCCTCAGAGGGAAGGCCGCGGGAAGAGGGCAGTGCGAAGAGTGGGTCAGCCCTTGCACCATCGGTTGGGTGCCGCTTTACGGGGGTGGGGTGGAGGGTGGTGACAGACGTCCCGAGGGCCCCGGGTGCGCCTCACGCTGACCAGGAACAAGGGCCCGGGGCAGGCGGGTTGGAAGAGGGGCTGGGATGGGGCTGGCGTGCACAAGCCTTCCTCAGAATTCCCCCAAAGCTCCCTTTCCTGGTAGCTTCAACCTGTGATAAGACGCTCACCTCTATGAAAAGATTGGGGACAAAAGTTGGGGTGCCCAGGAAGAGTGGCACCCTCCGCCTCCCCCGTGCTGGGGCTTGTAAGGCAGCTTCTCTGTCAGGAGAAGCTCATTTCTAGGCAAATTTAAGACCTTGACCCTACTCCCCTCTTTAACACCCCCCCAAACACTTTCCTCACACCGTCTCTGCCCCTCGTGGATTACGCCCCCTTTCTGCTGGCTTTCCGTTATTTCCCACCAGGCAGTGAGACTCAAACTCAAAAGATGTGCTCAAATAGATCTCTGAAAACGGGTCCGCCTGATCAACAAAGCAAGTTCCAGGACAGCCAGAGCCACAGAGTAGAAAGACCCTGTCCCAAAGCAGGAAAGGAAAGAAAAACCCTGCTTTTTTTTTTCTTCCTTTGACGTTTTTGAATCTGTGTTCTTGAGTGTGCACCGATAGGTTTCACTGAACAGCTAAGTATGGCAAGCATTGTTCGTTGTCGCTCTAACTGTTCTGTCTGAACCATTCCTCTCACTTCACAGGTAGGAATAGGAGAAATACTTTGTTCAAAAGTCACCTTCAGTGCATATGAGAAAGCCTGGATTTGGATTTGAAATTACATACAGTGCATCATCTTCTCTTACTGTCCTTCAGAAAAGTTTTACTTTCTGCTTGCTCTTCATCAAAGGCTGGTTCTCTGGCTTTCCCAGTTACAAGTGGCTGTAGGGAAATAGTTTGAGAAGGGGAAAATGGGTTCTATTTTTTAGTTTTCCTTGTAACTACGATGCACACTTGAGAGTTTAGTTACAACTGTGGTGTTGTTTGAGTGTGTTGAGACCAAGTCTTGCTGTTTGTTTAGCTAGGGCTGGCCCTGAACTTGCCTCAGCCTCCCAGTGAATGTTTGTAGTAATTAAACACAATAATTACATAAAACATTCCAGAAAAAAAAATCTCAGATTTGGTTTTGAGCAAGGATTTATTCACACTGGAATACCAACTGCTGGCATATTGGCACAGATAGTGATGTTGAAAAGCATCTGTGATGAGGGAAAGAAGTTTCAAAGAGGTTGCGGGGGGAAGAGCATATTTCACCGGTGAGGAAGAATTTCGTGATTCAAGTTGAAGTTAAAGCATCTTGCTTCTGTTTTGCCTTAGCACAGACCTGTTGAACATCCCTGTTATGAAAACCCAAAATGTTCCACTGAAGCCAGATGTGGTGGTGCAAGTCTCCTGGGATTACAGATGTATGGTGCCATTCCTGACCTGTAGAGAATTTGTCACCATGGCTGAGAGGTCATAAATGAATGGGCCAAGCTGCGTTGTCAAAATGGAAAAGATTGAATTGTTTTGTTTTATCCATTATTTAAAAATTGTGTAGATGACACTTGATGTCACGGTAGGACAATCAGGGGGAAAAGCTGATTACCCAAATTCCAACATTCAGTAGTTTTTGCAATTTTGGTATGGCTTTCCCTGTGCCTCTCCCTATGGAAACTCACACTTGTTTCCCCCCCTTACCAACGGCTTTGTAACTAATTTACATTTGCTAATAACACATTGGGACAGTCTCCAGCACTCACACCTATATTATTATAGTCAATAGGCTGATACTCCCTTGTACGTAAATCTCTGGTTAATTCTCAATCTGAACTATTCTGAGGCTTTCCCCTTTCTTTATTACTGCTTGGAATCTTTTAAAAAAGAAAATTACGTGTGTGCATGTGCGCATGCCTCAGCACTAACAAAGGTCATAGGAGAACCTTTGGGAGTCCTCTCACCTACCAGGGGTCAAACTCAGCTCCGCAGGTGCAGTGGCAAGTGCCTTTACCTGTGGAGACATCTTGCCAGGCCCTGCTTGAAAACTTTTGAAAATGTATCTTTATCTGTCTATCAAAATGTATCTTTGGGGCTGGTACCACCTGGCTGTGTGCCTGACCTGTGACCCAAAGATGCTGTGAGAGACAAAGAGGAGCCCAGGTAGAGCCTCTTTTCTGGTGTCCTAGACCTACCCTGTGTGAAAAAAATCAGTAGTGACTTGGTTTCCAGTAATAGGACAATGTATGCACCCAACTTGCCCTTTCAGCCAACGAAAATTTCCTAGATATTTTCCAAGTGAAGTAAATCGTGAAGTCACCGCATTGAAGGACAAAGATACTAAGAACTGTAAAGGAGTTGCCTTTATCTGACTTTTGGATAAAAAGTTACACCAGGATGTGGTGGTGCCCGCCTTTAACCCCAGCAGGCAGAACTCTCTGAGTTTGAGGCTAGCCTGGTGTATAGAGCTGAGTCCAGGGCAGCATCCAGGGCTACGCAGAGAAACCCTGTCTCGAAAACAGGAAACAACAAAAACAAGTTACACCAGAGCAACAAAAAAGTTACTTGATGGCTTGCTGAAGGTAAGCATTGCTCTCAGCAGGAGAGTAGCTGAGCCCAGCTGAAGGTGAAACTACTCAACGTCAGGGAGGGGACTGTGGAAGAAGGAGACCTTCAGTTGTTGCTGTTCTAGAAATACGCTTGGAGCATTCCCGTTTCCAAAAACAAACCAGAGAAGTTGATATGCAGGGAAGACCCTGCTCAGGTATGCCAAGGCATCCCGAAAAGCCAAGGAAGAATGGAAAACCAGGGCAAAAAGGTCCCTCAATGCCAGATTTAAGATGCCCAAGGATAAAGGAAAAACTTAGGGTCTGGTGTTGTAATGATGTTAGTATCATTAAAACAAAGATCTTGTGGAGTACCAGTTTAGCCTGGCTGGAAACTAAAGGTTACTTTTAGTACTTGAGCATATTAGAACACCTTGAGCATACAAGAACACCTACTACCAAATAGTGTTTTTTTTTTTAAACGTAAAGAGTTCATAGGAAAAATTTAATCATTTTAAACTGTTAGGTTTCTATCTTGTCTTCACCCAGCACAGGCTGAACACCCCTGATCTGAAAATCCAAAATCTAAAAGGTTCCACTGAAACAGGTGGAAGGTCGGGTAAGAGTGAATTTTGTTCTGCCAGAGGGTCCAAGTTCAGTTCCCAGAACCTCTGCTGGATGGCACACAAAGGCCTGTAACCACCGCTAGGGGGAACTGGCCTCCAAGGTCCCTACAGACAGGACTATACCCTCCGCCACAGAGGGAAGGTGCAACCACCTTGAAAATTCCAACACTGGGATTGATACAAGAGGATTGTGAGTTCAAGGCCGGCCCGGGTTAGATAGCAAAACCCTGTCTCAAAAACAAAACACTTGAAGGCACCAAATACCTCATCTGGAAAATTCCACTCCATGATATTCTGTTTAATGCATAACATTATTTAAAATATTATATACAGCTGGGTTGCTGTGGTACACTCCTGTAATCCCAGCATTCAGGGAGGCGGAGGCAGGTGGATCTCTGTGAGTTCGAGGCCAGCCTGGTCTAGGACAGCCAAAGCTACACAGAGAAACCCTGTCTTGAAAAGACAAAAAAAAAAAAAAAAAAAAAAAAAAAAAAAAAAAAAGAAAAAATACACACACACACACACACACACACACACACACAATTACCTTCAGGTTATATGTGTAAGGTATATATGAAACAAATACATGTCACATTTAAACTTGGGTCTCATTCCCCCAAATCTCTTGTATATGCAAGTATTCCAAAACCTAAAACTGTTCAGATCCTAAATATTTCATTAAGAGATACTCAAGTTATACTGAAAATCAGTACTTGTTAATCTTGAATTAATTTTAATAAAGGTAGGAAAATAATATCACAATCATAGTGCTATTGTTATCCCATCATAAAATCTTTATTCATGTCTGACTGGTTTATGTGAGATTTAGTTTTTGTATTCTGAGGTGGTTTGGATGAAAATGGCCCCCGTGGGCTCCATAGGAAATGGCACTATTAGCAGGTATGGCCCTGTTGAAGGAAGTTTGTCACTGAGGGTGGGTTTTGGGGTTTCAGACGCTCAAGCCAGGCCCAGGGTCACTCCCTCTTCCTGCTGCCTGCCAATCCTGACATGGAACTCTCAGCTCCTTTCTCCTGTACCGTGTCTGCCTGCCCGCTGCCATGCTTCCCTCCATAATGAGCTCTAAGCCAGCCCCAATTAAATATTTTTCTTCAGAAGAGTTGCCATACTCGTAGCATTTCTTCACGGCAATAAAACCCTAAGACATTTTTATGTTATTGTCTGGGTGTTTTGCCTGCATCTCTGTTTATGCCACGTGTGCGCAATGCCTGCGGAGACAGGCAGATGACGTAGTTCCCTTGGAACTAGAGCTACAGATGACCGTGAGCCACCGTGTGGGTTCTGGGAATCGAACCTGGGTTGTCTCCAAGAGCAGGCAGTGCTTTCAATATCTGGGCTGTCTCTCCAGCCCTGGTTTTGTTTTTTTGTTTGTTTGTTTTGAGATAGGATTTCACTACAGAGCTTCCCGGATCGTTACATAAGCCAAGGATGTAAGCCTGGAACTCTGTGTGTGAGCATATGTGCTGTGAGTGTGGTGGATGTGCAAGTGTGTGTGTGTGTGTGTGTGTGTGTGTGTGTGTGTGTGTGTGTGAAGCTTAAATCCCAGACAGCTTCCCAACTTGGTCTCAAGACTCTTTCTAATGTTGCTAACGTCACTCACTCTGTGGCTTGGTTCATCCATACGGCCAGTCTTCTCCCAAGCAGGCAATTTGCTTTCCAATATCTCCATCTCGATCTCCATTAAGGCTGTTGACTCCCCATTTGAATTGTCCCTTGTACCATTACCTCTGCCTATTTAAACACTACCTATTAAGAATCCTTTCTAGGAGACCTTTCACCATCGTTTCCACCATAAACAATCTCTCCGGTTAGATTACTGGGATATTTTTGTGCCATTTACATGACATGTTTCCTGTTACTTACATTGTGTTTCCTATTCCTGTTTTCTCTCCTTTTTTTTTTTTTAATATTTAGTGGCTTAT